CATCTCTGAGTAGAAGTTTTTTTTGAAGATGGATGTCCAATTTGGCAATTTTAAACTGCCTTCTTTTTGTTTTTTGTTTTTTGCTTTATTTATTTGTTTGTTTGTTTATTTGTTTATTTATTTATTTATTTATTTATTTATTTATTTGTTTATTTTTGAGACTGAGTTTCTCTGTATTTTTGGTACCTGTCCGGGATCTCGTTCTGTAGACCACGCTGGCCTCGAACTCACAGAGATCCTCCTGCTGGGATTAAAGGCTTATGCCACCACTGCCCAGCTGCTTTTGTTTTTTTGTTTTGTTTTGTTTTGTTTTAAAAGATTTGTTTATTTATTATGTGTACAGCATATATGACTGCAGGCCAGAAGAGGGCACCAGATCTCATTACAGATGGTTGTGAGCTACCATGTGGTTGCTGGGAATTGAACTCAGGACCTCTGGAAGAACAGCTGGTGCCATCTCTTCAGCCGCTTTTTGTTTTTTGAGACAGGGATTTCTCTGTGTATCCCTGGCTGTCCTGGAACTCATTTTGTAGACCAGGCTGGCTTTGAACGCAGAGATCCCCTGCCTCTGCCATCTAAGTGCTAGGATTAAAGGTATGTAACACCACTACCTGGCTCTGCCTTCTCCTTTTGATACCCTATGATTTTCTTCTGTACGATATTTTACAGTTTATAATTTTCGCACTTATATTTGAGTCTGTAATCCATTTTGATTAATTTGTACATGAGATAAAGTAAGAGTAATAATGCTTAATCCACTCTCATTTGTTGGTTCCGGCACCACTTGAAAACATCCATTTTTTTTTTTCTTTTTTTTTTCCCTGTCCTTTTAACCTTTGTCAAAAATTACTTGACTTACGTTTGTGATTCTTTCTGGACTCTAATTTGCTCCATGAGTCTTTCATTTCTTGAAGCTAGGTAATCGATGTCTGCCAGCTTTTCTTCTTACCATTATTATTTTAGCTATGATATGTAAAATTTATGTAATTTTAAATATAAGTATTATCCTATGGGAAAGAAATTTTTCTTTTTTTCCTCAGTTCATATAAAGTTCTTATAAGAAAACATTGCAGGTTAGTTACATGTAAGTTTAAATATGTATATGTATATATGAGAACTGTGTGTGTGTGTGTGTATATGTGTGTACACAAAGAAGGCTAGGTGTTGTGGTTCATGCTTGTCAGCCAAGCCCAGGGAAGAGGATTGTTGTAGGCCAGTCATCCTGAGCTGCCCAAAACAAAACAAACAACCAGCCTACCAACAAAAATACAGGGAAGACTGTTCAAATCTGATATCCTACAACCAAGACAATAATCATTTCACATTTTGGTGACCATTTTCTTTTTCTCTCTTCCCTTTTCCCCCCTGATATCTTTACATAAAGAAATATTATTTGTAATTTTTGTAGCTTCAAGGTTTTTCCACAACATTGGATGTTTGGAGGCTTACATGACTAATTTTTTTTTTTTTAGGTTGAATTGGTTGTTATTCTCCCCCCCCATTTTTATTTATTCATTTATTTATTTTTCTATTAGCAGCTTGATACAGTATAAATTCTTATCCTAATAGTGAAGTGTTTGATTGAGGCTTGCCCAGTAATTGAGTAAAACCAAAACTTTTATAAGCCACAGTCATCCTAGGGTCCCCCCTGCTATATAGCCTCCCTGGAACTGTGGGTTGCAGTCTGATTGTTCTTTGCTTTATATCTAGAATCCACTTATGACTGAGTACATACCATGTTCTTCTGGGTTTGGGTTACCTCACTCAGGATGATATTTTTTAGTTCCATCCATTTGCAAATTTCATGCTGTCATTGTTTTTCTCTGCTGAGTAGTACTCCATTGTATATATGTACTACATTTTCTTAGTCCGTTCTTCAGTTGACGGGCGTCTAGGTTGTTTCCAGGTTATGGCTATCATGAATAATGCTGCTATGAATATAGTTGAGCATGATGTATCTTTGTGGTGTGATTGAGCATTCCTTGGGTATATGCCCAAGAGTGGTATGGCTGGGTCTTGAAGTAGATCGATTCCCAATTTTCTGAGAAACCACCATACTGATTTCCACAGTGGTTGTATAAGTTTGCACTCCCACCAGCAGCGGAGGAGTGTTCCCTTTGCTCTGCATCCTCTCCAACATTGACTGACATGACTAATTTTTAATAGTAGCATAATGTGTCATTATGAACCATAATGTTATAAATTGTCCTTTATCTTGTGGGATAATTATTTTTAATTTCTTTGCTGTTATGAGTAGGAAATAATTGGATAAAAGTACATGAAAAGGACAGAATCCAATGCTAAATTCATGTGAATTTAAGTGATTAAATATTTTATGATAAGATGAAAATCTTTTCAGTAATTAAGATGATATTATCTAATTCTTTTTTGGTTGTTATTATTTTGTTTTTGTGGTAAGCTTTTTCTTCTTTAGCCCAGGATTATCTGAAACTCAGTGTATAATCTAGGCCTTGAACTCTCTGCAGTCCCACCGGGTCAGCCTCCCAAGTGCTAGGATGACAGTGTGAGCCACTACGGCTGGCTTAATGATTTACTTGGGAAATATGTTCATGACATGCTTTGTGGAAGAAAAGTTTTTCAGGCAGTCTGTATGATAATTCCATATCAGATATAATGGCTTTGGGAACCTTTAGGGAGTATATTGGTAAGTTAGTAATGGAAGTAGTGGATTTTCCCAATCTGCCTTTGGTAATTACCTAGATTGTTTCTCTACCATGGCCTCTGCTTCACTTCCTGCCTCCAGGTTACTGTTCCATTTCAGTTTCTGCCCTGACTTCCCTCAGTGATGAACTGTGATGTGAAAGTGTAAGCTGAAATAAACCCTTTCTTCCCTAAATTGTTTTTGGTCATGATGTTTATCACAGTAGTATAAGCCCTGACTAAGACAACAGTGATATCATCTCGAGTAGCTTTCTCTTTCTGCACTTAATTTTAGTGTCTCTTGTAGCTGGTTCTTAAAAATACCTGAAATGCAGTTAATGGCTTAGTGGGTAAAGACACTTGCTACTAAGCCTGATGATTTCTTCAGTTCAATAACTGGGACCCACGTGGTATTACTTCCATAGTTTGTCTTCCTACCTACACACACACACACACACACACACACACACACACATTGTAGTATGTGTACTCACAAACAAATAAGTAAATGTAGCTAAGAAAAAATTTAAATGTGAAATGCCTTTTTCTGATCATCTCCTCCTTTCCCTTGGTCTCTTTTAATCATTTTTCTTTGAAAAAATACACTACATGTAATGTAGCCTTAGTTAAGAAACTGTCTTTTCTGAACTGATATTAACTAAGAACACTGAAGCAGAGGGTTCTGAGTAAAAGCAATAAATGTAACTATAATATATTAATAGTCATATTTGTGTAAGTCCTTTGGCTATTAAATGATTCTAAAGAACAAATGTCATAAAATTACAGATTTCATTTACTGTGGCAGAAGATGCAGAGTTGCACAAGAGTCAGCTGCAGTACTTTATGGAACAGTTTTATGGAATCATCAGAAATGCAGATTCAAACAACAAGGAGTTATCCATTGCTATTCGTGGATATGGACTATTTGCGGGAGTATGATTCATTAGTTTACTGTATTATGTTTTTGGTTTTATTTAATTATTTACAGGAATAGAACACTTCATTTTTAATAGCATGTTGTGCTTGTGTTGGTATTATTTGTACTTGTTCTACTAACAGTTCAATTTTCTGTTTACTCAGAGCCCCATAGCTCAATGACAAGATGAGTTATTAGTCTGTTTTCTACAAGAAAAAACCAAGACCAAGAAAAGTCAGCTAACTTGTCAAAAGCTACCCTGAATTGGTAGAAAAATACATAAATCTTATCTAGGGTTGGTACATGCCCATAATCCCAGTTCAGGAAACAGGCAGGAGAATTAAGAGTTTGTGGCTAACCTGGATACATAAAGCTCTAAGTCAGCCGAGGCCATCTAAACACACTTAGGAGATGGTTAACAAACAAGAAGTACAAACACTGCCAAACAAACCAGCAAAACCCCACATAAATTCAGATCTGACTGCTAGAAGCATTGTATTTTCATTTTGTACTCTGCAGCCCCCTGTTAATACAGTAAAACTATAGTTATTTTCACTTAAAGTTTTAGACAGATGCTCTTAGGACAGAACGATGTATTTAAAGACTAACTGGATTCCTACCTATAATCCAGGCTTCAGGAAGCTAAGACAGGGGAATTGCTGCAGATTGAGGATAGCCAGGGTTACATAGTAAATTCAAAGCTATGATAGGCCTTATCTACTACCCCCCACCACCTCAAAGAAGATACTATGAATAACTCCAGTTATTTCTTAGTAGATTTTTGTGATAATTTGCTTTTAAGAAAAGTAGTTTCCTGTCTCTATTCTTAACAGTTTTATCCATCAGCATCTTCCTTCTTATTCTCATTTCCCTTCTTCCCCCTCTCCATTCTCTGTCTTTTATTCCTCATCTCCATTTGTTTCTGTTTGCAGCTCTAACTAATCCAGAGACAAAATAAGCAGTATATGAGAAGTCTCCTGCTGGAGTGACAAGCTTTACAGGCCTGTGCATAGCAAGACCTGCCTTTTAAACAGAGCCTAGAGCAAGATCAACAATGTGTAGAAGTAACTGTTTAGGATGTGAATATACATTATTTTATGAAAAGCATAAGATACAGTATTTTATGTACAGTAAGATAAACAAGTAAATAGCTTGCTAATATTCAGCATTTTATAATCATGTATCTTAACGTGACATTTTAAGTGCCTCTGTTTTGACGCTGTTAAGATTTTTATTTTGCCTTTTTTAAAGCCTTGCAAGGTAATAAATGCAAAAGATGTCGACTTCATGTATGTTGAGCTCATTCAGCGCTGTAAGCAGATGTTCCTCACCCAGACAGAAGCTACCGAGGATCATGTTTACCAGATGCCAAGTTTCCTCCAGTCTATTGCAAGTGTTCTGCTTTACCTTGACACAGTAAGTGAAATGGTTACACTGAGCATGGTTGTAATTACTTAATTTCATCTCCACAAGTAATCTTTGTTATTTTATTTAGAAAAGCGCACGATTTCTTTGTTAAATTATCGACTGTGGAGCTCCTTGATAACAATATAAAATAAATGGATAATTGACCAGAAACTTGCTTGGAGATGCTAATTTTAATTTTTGAAACAATAAACTTTAGCAACAAATATTTAAGAAGCACCTATTGTAACTGCTAGCTCTTGAAACTGTAGCCAGACATTTTCCTGTGTCCTACAGCCGTTTGGTCCCAAATAAACACACAGAGGCTTGTATTAATTATAAGCTTTTTGGTCTATGGCTCAGGCTTATTGCTAACTCGCTCTTTTATCTTAAATTAACCTATTTCTGTTAATCTGTGTATTACCACATGGCTGTGGCATTACTGGTCTGTTGGCATGTTGCTCCTTGAGCGAGCTGGCATCTTCCCTGGCTCCACCTTTCTTCTCCCTGTATCCTTGCTTGGATTTCCTGCCTGGCTATAACCTGTCTTGCCATAGGCCAAAGCTGCTGCTTTATTAACCAATGGTAGCAACACATATTCACAGCATACAGAAAAACCATCCCACAGCGTGAAAGCAACAGCGCTGTTTATATCTGATCAGCTATCCAAAACTTATTAGTGGAAATCTCAAAGGACAGGTAAGCAACTACTAATCAAAGTTGTGTTTGCAGGCTAACACCATAGTTACCATCTTAGAACCTTCCAGGTAGCTGGAAGAAAGGTATAGGAAGAAGTGAGTCTGCTGGAAGTGTCAAGGATTCCTCTTACTCTGGCCCCATATTGGCTCTAACACTGCAAAACTGTCACACAAAAGCTTGGGTGAGGCTGTAAAGGAGGCAGGCCTCTCAGGAATTGTTACTGGTGGATTTAGAATGTAGCACTGGTGGACACCAGGAACTAGGGAGTGTCCTGGCTTTCAAATTGTTTAGTAGGTTTAGGGGTTGGGGATTTAGCTCAGTGGTAGAGCGCTTGCCTAACCCTGGGTTCGGTCCTCAGCTCTGAAAAAAAAAAAGACAAAATAACAAATTGTTTAGTAGGTTTGGCATGTCACAGTTCTGAGCCAGGTACATTCCAACTATATTGCACAAAGTAAATCCAAGCAGGAATTGTAGCATGACCTGGGTCAGGGAGGCAAAGAGGGGGTGACAGACACTTGACGTTCTCTGCTGTTCTCTGGGCCTTCTCCTACAGAAGGACAGAACAAGGAATTTTGAGTCCTATGTTGGTTTATTTAGTGTAGGTTCCTCTGTGATCCCCACAACATTTTATTTAGCATTTGTGTCAAGAGATTTTTGTTGTTGCTATCTAAAGCAGGATTACTAAAACTGTTTTCCACTCATGAATCCTTTTTATGAGGGAAATTTTGCTACAATCCTGGGTATATTAAATAGTTCTAAAAATCAAACACTTTCTGATAGCGTAACTAAATTTATCCTAAAACAATTCTTTGGTTTCTATTTAATTTTATCATTTATTAAAGATTAAAACAAATTTATATACAAATGAGGTGGATTGCTTGTTTATTTTTACATAAAAATTTACATCCTGGACTATTTGTTGCTATAGGGTGTACAGTACCTTCAGTATTATTCAGAGTTGATAAATGATTCTACAACCACCAATGCTGAGAATGTTTCTTGGCATAATTGTGTAGCCTAAAATAGCAGAAGTATGTTTAGGGCCATTTCAGACCTGGAGTTACAGACAGTTGTGAGCTGCCATGTGGGTGCTGGGAGTGGATCTCCCTCTGAAAGGGCACCAGTGCTCTTAAACTTGTGAGACCTCTCTCCAGGCCTATACCCCATGTTTGTTTGTTTTTTTTATATGTTTCCTTTTTTTAAATTAACTTTTAATCTTGATATTTGGAAATGTTTTACTATTCTAATATATCTTGTGATATATCAGATTCTGATATATCCCCATAGTTGATTGAATGATCCCATATTGGATTATAACACACAGTTTCAGAAGCTGGAGTCATGTGTATTCTGTGGATCTGAACCCAGGTCCTCATGCACTTTATTGACTGAGCCATTTTCCCACCTCTGTACGTTAGGCATCCTGTAATAGAGTTATAGACAATGATAATTTAAAAAAAAACAAAAACAAAAATAAAACGAGAAGCTTGAGTCTAGAGCAGGAAAAATAGGTGCTATCTTTTCTATCTTTTTCTAAAGGATTCCAATTGCAATGAAGGATACAAGTGTGCTGTAAATACCACTCAGACAGTTTATTATGATTTATTCTGGTAGCTGCAATAATAAATGTTAAGTATGATAGCTAAGATTACAAGTCAGTTTTCATTTACCTGTGACTACTTCAGTTCTAATAAATTTCATTATATATATTTTTCTTATATTTATTTATTCCCTGTTCTAATTTTGAGTTTGTTCTCCATTTCTGGTAGGTTCCTGAGGCATATACTCCAGTTCTGGAACATCTCATGGTGGTACAGATAGATAGCTTCCCTCAGTATAGTCCCAAAATGCAGTTGGTGTGTTGTAAAGCAATAATAAAAGTTTTCCTAGCCTTAGCAGAAAAAGGACCAGTTCACTGGAATTGTATTAGTACTGTGGGTAAGTTTGCCATTTATTTTCATTCTTACTGTGGTAAATGCTAAACATTTAACACATTATTTGATATATTTAAAGGAAATCTGGTTCCCTAATGTTTTGTGTGCTTCGTACTTTTTAGAGAACTTTTAATTTTGATGAATCAAAATCGTTTTCTTTATTAGAATTTGGAGTCAGTGGTACCTATTGTTTCTTTAAACAGAATTTTTCATTTATTTTTTTGAAAATTTCAAACATGTACACAATCTTGATCATATGTACCCCTGTCTTAGTTACTATTCTATTGCTGTGAAGAAACACCATGACCAAGGCTACCTATAAAAGAGCATTTAATTGGGGGCTTATTCATATTTTCAGAGAGTTAGTCTATGGTCATTATGGCAGTGGGCAGGCAGGTAGACAGGGATGATGCTGAACCAGTATCTTAGAGCTCGCATCTGATCCACAAGTTTAGTCAGAGAGAGACACAGGGTCTGGCAAGAGTCTTTGAAGTCTCAAAACCCAACCCCCAGTGACATACCTTCTCCAACAGGGCCACACCTCCTAATCCCTCCCACACAGTTCCACTAACTGGGACCAAGAATTCAAACATGAATGAGCCTATGGGTGCCATTCTCATCCAAACCACCACAATCCCCAACTCTTCCTCCCTCTCTACCTGTGAACCCTTAATTCCCTCTTACCACTACTTCCTTCATGTTCTCTTTATTTTGTTGTTAATAGCCCACTGGATCCAATTGGTGCAGCCTGTTGCAATGCTGACTAGTCTTGTTGGCTTGATTTTGTTCAGCTAGCCATAGCTGCAGTGAGTTTGTAGATGCAGTGGCCATGTCATGTCTAGACCACAGCGTTTTATAGCGTTCTTCCACATCTAGCCCTTACATTCATTTCACCCTTCTTCCAAGATGTTCCCTAAGCCTTGGGGTAGTGGTGGTGATGATGTAGATGTCCCATTTAAGGCTGAGCACTTAATAGTCATTGATTATCAGCACCTTGACTGGTTATTGAGTCTCTGCATTAACTGGTGCCCACTGCAGAGAGACATTTCTCTAAGCATAATAGTTTAGACAAGATGGAGTACATTCAGAGTGGTGTGGCCATAGACAAGCATAACTATATAGAAGGCAGTTTTTTAATGTGTCCATTTAACAAAGTAACAATAGTAGAACCTTCCCCAGGGCCTGAGCAATGGGCTTTTTACCAAGAAGCCTTTTTCTTTAAACATCTGTGGCTTCTGAATTTATTCTTATTTTATTTTTTTAGACAGGGTATCACTATGCAGCCTGGGCTGGCCTTGAGCTCCACAGTTGTCCAGCCTCTACTTCCCAAATGCTAGGATTATAGATGTATGCTACCATACCCACTTTAGTTTCTGACTCTCAATAGTTCAGAATTTAAAACTAAAGATATTAACAAATTTCAAACAGAAATTAAGAGGCAAGATAATGGTTGCTGTTTTTATTGAGTGATTGTTCTTTCATTATTCTTTCATTTTCTTCATTTTTAGTGCACCAAGGTTTAATTAGAATATGTTCTAAACCAGTGGTCCTTCAAAAGGTAAATTCTGAATCTAAAGTTTCAAAAACTAGTATTATCAATGGATGTTAGAAACAAGTGTTTTAGCATGTAAATATATAAAACCTTTCTTGCCGGGCGGTGGTGGCGCACGCCTTTAATCCCAGCACTTGGGAGGCAGAGCCAGGCGGATCTCTGTGAGTTCGAGGCCAGCCTGGTCTCCAAAGCGAGTTCCAGGAAAGGCGCAAAGCTACACAGAGAAACCCTGTCTCGAAAAACCAAAAAAAAAAAAGAAAAGAAAACCTTTCTTTATTTTAACCTCCACCATCACCTTTCTTGAGACAGAATCTCCAGTATCCCATGCTGACTTTGAACTTGATATGTAGCCAAGGATCACTTTGAATTCCCAATATTCCTTCCTATAATTCATAAGTGTTAGGATTACAGGTGTACACCAGTATGTCACATTTATGTAGTGCTGGGGATTGACCTCAGGGTTTTGTGCATACTAGGCCAGCAATCTGCCAACTAAGCCACATTTCCAGGCCATCCATGTCTTACTTTTGAAATATTAGATGATGAATATGCTTCTAAGGAATAAAATTGTTATATACACTTTAAAATTTTTCTTTCAATGTTTGTGTGTGTGTGTGTGTGTGTGTGTGTGTATGCTTGTGGAGGTCACAAGGAACACTTAGGATTTAGTTCTCTTCTTCCACCATGTGGGTTCCAGGAATTGAACTCAGGTTGTCAGGCTTGATAGCAAATGCCTTTACCTGCTGAGACACCTTCCTGTTCCTTTACCTGCTGAGACACCTTCCTGTTCCTGTACCTGCTGAGACACCTTCCTGTTCCTTTACCTACATCTTTACAAAGAAAGAATGGTTCTCTCTTATAATCCAGGAGACAATATAAAAGTATGTAGAAGTTAGAGGAACATGAATGGAATGAGAAACTGGATCACATAAGAAGAGGGATGATTTGTAGTAGGTTTGGTAGGTGTATTAAAAATGTTCATTGGCTACAGTCACTCACTTAACCTTTTCAGTCTTCTTTTATTCTCTTGTCTTACTTTCTTCAGTTTATTGCAGGTTGCTATTTTAGTTTAGAAAATTCTTTTAAGTCATTAAGTTCTGACAGCAGCTGCTTCATATGTCCACCAATCAATAATGGGATGTTGTCTTCCTCTCTAGGATGTTGAGTCCAAGTCTGATAACCATTGGGCTTCAGGGGAAGTCAGAACGGGCAAGTGGAAAGTACCCACGTCCAAAGACTATGTGGATCTTTTTCAGCATCTTTTAAGCTGTGACCAGATGATGGTAAGTTTTAAGTATTTATAGTTTTATTACCCTTCCTTATTTCGGGAGCTTGCCACACATTAGTGTAGCAGTCAGAGGACAACTTTTAAGAGTTGGTTTTGTTCTTTCACCAAGTAGTTCCCAGACATCAATCTCAGGTTGTAAGGCTTGGGGACAAATGCCTTTATTTATTTAGCCATCTCTCTAACCTGTTTTTTTGTTTTTTGGAAGAGGGTCCCATGTGGCTCAAACTTTGTATTTAACTAAAAATCACCTTGAATTCCTGATATGCTTGCTTCCAACTCCAACCAAATTTATAATTTGAAAGCTATGAAAGTACACTATTTTTCGTCTTTAATAAGAGATTCCACTAAAACAGTACAAAACAAACCCAAGCAGACAAGACACCATGTCTCAGAAACACAAAACAAAACATCTCCATAGTTATAGAGGTATCTTTGTCAGGATTTTTATGCTGTGATAAAACACCATGATCAAAAGCAACTTGGGGAGGAAAGGTTTTATTTCATGTGACATTTCCATATCATAGTCCATCCCAGAGGGAAGTCAGGACCGGGACCTGGAGGCAGGAAGTGAAGCAGAGGTCTTGGAGGCTGCTTACTGACTTGCTCCTAATGGCTTACTCAGCCCTCCTTTTTATATCATCCAGGTCCACTTACCCAGGGGTGGCACTGCCCACAGTTATCTGGGCCTCGCACTGTATCGATTATCAATCAAGAACATGCCCTATAGATTTGCCTACAGGCCAGACCTTTGGAGGCATTTTCTCAATTACAATTCCTTCTTCCCAGATGGCCCTAGCTTATGTCAAGTTGACATAAAAACTAGTAAGAACAGGTGTAAGACATTTATTTCAGAATTTTGTTTTACTAACTTTCAAAAGATCTTAAAGCATATTTAAAATAGTGTAAGTCAAGGCAGTTAGAAGTAAAACCAGAAATAAGTAAAATGTGGGCTAAAGATATCACTCTGTGGTAGAGCATTTGTCTAACATTCTAACAAAATCTTGGCTTTGTTCTTCAGCATTGCAAAAGCAAATTAATTTTTAAAAATCTTCCTCATAGCAAGACGGTTATGGTCCTTGTCTCTCTCCCTCACTTAGTCTGACCCTCCTGCTTTAGCTATTTCTCGCTCAATCTTTCCCTTCTCTGTGCTCCCCCACCTACTCTCTTTCTCCTGGGAATTAAACCCAAGGCCTTGACTATGCTAAACACGTTCTTTCACTCTTCTTTTTACTGAGTAGATAAATCTAGTTTGTTTAATAATTTTGAGGGGTTGGTGTACATTAGTTATTTATGTCACTTGTATTAGAATAATGCCTCTTGCCTAATACATTGTTAGATGACAATTTTTTAGTTTCTAGTGGCTAGTATTTTAATATATACTTCAACAAAGCATTAATAGTCTAGGATAAGAAATTTTTGACAATAGGTGATTTTTATCCCATCAAAAGTCATATGTTCTTACTTTTTTATTATTGGATTTAAATAGTATATCAGGTGGATGGATATAGTAGTGACATACAGCTTGGATGTGAAATAATGTCAGCATTTCAGATGTGTTTGCACGTGACTCAGAAGCCTGGGCTATATGATATCCTGTCAAAACAGACATATAGGGGGCTGGAGTGTGAGTTGGTAGAACAGTTCTTGCTTAGGAGTTACAAGATTTACTTCCCAGGACCTGAGATGGAGGGATGGAAGGAGAGATTGAGAAAGAGCAAGCTGTTATGCCAATGTGTGTTTATCCATAGACACACAAACTAATTGAGGGAAATGCTTTGAAAAGGTTGACCCACATCCTCTCATTCAATTCCATGTATAGAGTATTTGTAACTTAACCAGGTAGGTCATACTATCTGATTAAAATGTCATAATAACTTGAAAAGATATGTTAAATTTTGAAGGTTTAAAACTCTAAGTAAATTAGTTACAGTATATATATATACATATATATATATATATGTATATATATATACTGTTTCCATCAT